TGGCTGCTTGGACCATTACGGTGGCACGTTGTGTGCCCAGAACAGGAACTGACTCTTCTGAGTCACCTTTTACTCTTCCTGGTGGCCACTTGGACCACGGTGGAGACATGTCAGTTGCCCAAAACACCACCAGATGTTTCTTTGGGGCAACTGAGTCCCACTTTACTTTTCTTGGTGACTACCTGGACCATGCTGCAAGCCCGAAACAATGTTGGGCACTTGGTTTGGGCAGGCAAGTCCTCCACTGACCTTCCTGGTGGCCACTCAGCCCTTCTCAGGAGCCCATTGTGTGCCGAAGCCATGCCAGAAACTTATTTTGGGTCAGTAAGTCCTACTTTAGCCACCCCAGTGGTTCATTACGTGGACGTGTTACTTGCCCCAAACAACTCCAGATGTTTCTTTTGGGCAACCCAGTCCTGTGTCGGTCTTGGTGGCTCTTTGGACCCTTGTGGCGGTAACAACGAGCCCAAAACACCGGACTCGATTCTGGGTCCTGAAGTGCTCAGACAGTTGGACTAGATGATCATTGTAGGGCCCTTCCATTCTACTTTAGGCTTCTTGGTGGCCACTCGGAGCGTTTGGGGACACGTCACATGGCTGAAATATCATCAGATTCTTATTTCGGTCCGACTCGCCCTCCCCTGAGCCCCGGTACTCACCTGGCACGGACACTCCGTAGACATTGACCTCCTGGATGAAGTTGACCATGGCAAGAGTGGCCTCCACCTCTGTCGTGGCTACGTTCTCGCCTTTCCAACTAGGACAGAGAAGGGACAAAGCTGTGAGGGGACGTTTGGGCTGGGAGGGGACGTTGCGCACACAGACGTGGGTGTGAGGGCGTCGGAGTTACCGGAAAGTGTCTCCCACTCGGTCCTGGAAGTAGACGAATCTTTCGTGGTCAATCATGAGGAGGTCGCCGCTGTTGAAGAAGGCGTCACTTTTGACCAAGACGTCCCTCAAGACCTTTTTCTCTGTCTTCTGGGAATCGCCCGCGTAGCCATCGAAAGGGGTGTTCTTGGTGATTTTGATGACCAGAAGCCCCGTCTCGCCTTCAGGGGAGGGGGAAAGGAGGGTTGGAGGCCGGTCAGCAGCGGCCTCAGCACTGGGGAACGTCACCTCTGTGCCCCACCGTGCTCGGGGATGACATTCCTGTTTCCCTGAGGGGTTCCTGGTGACTTCCAGCCACCGAGATGATGGTGATAAGGACCAAGAGGTGGCTTTGATGCATCTCAACCCTCTCGTCTGTCCCCCTGTCCTCCCAGAAAGGCTCATCTCTTCTTACCGGGGCCGACCCGGATGCAGAGACCACGCTCATCACGTACAGGTTCGTCCTTCTCCACGTCGTACTTGATCAGCTCAAAGGGAGCGAAAGTCTGGAGGGCAGGAGAGAGACAGAGAGAGAAACCGGTGGGTGGAGGAGAAAGGCGGGATTAAAAACAGCGAGAAGACTTTTTCCCTCCAGCGCCAGCGCCGATCTTCTGTTGTTTGCTCATTACAACCCACAACCTCACCCCACCCACCCCCACCCCTAATCCCAACATTCTGAGAAGCCGCTTGTTTTATATTTAAATATAAAGGAGTTAATCACCTTTTAAATGAGATTTAATCTTAATAGGTTCAACCAGTGACCAAACTCATTGCGGCAACTTTCAAATCAAAGGCCCGAGGGAGAATCTGAGAGTTGCAACTGTGGGAAAAGGGTGGAGAAAACCTGGTTTTTGTAGCTTTTGCTCAACACGTGGGTGGGTGGGAGCTGAGGTGACCCTGAAGTGGCCTTTCTCAGGGGCGATGAGATGTCCAGGTCACCATGGACACTCCAAACTCAGACTGAGTCAATGCTGGTTGGGTCAACGTTGGCCAACCAGGTGGAGGGAACTCTTTTGGGTCATGAAGAGGGGATTTTGGAGGTCCTGCTTGTGCAGCAACCCAGGCTGATGGACGTGTCGACTCCCCCAGGGAGTCACCTTTGCGTCACCACGAAGAGGGTGTCCAGGAGACACCCCCCCCCTCCCCACTCTTGGCATCGACCCCACTCGAGGTTCAGTTATTGATCTCCCCAAGGCAGGGAGAGTTTGCCCCCACCCCCAGCGTCACCTTGAGGAACATGTTGGCTCTGCCCACGGCCCCGATCTTGCCGGTGTAGTTGATGAAGCCGGCGTTGCCCTCTGTGGCCCCGTAGAACTCCCAGATGGAGACGGGCCCGAAGCGCTGGAGGAATTCCTTCCACACCTCCGCCCGCAGGCCGTTGCCCAGTGCCATGCGCACCCCGTGCTCCCGGTCGTTGTCGCGCTGTGGGGTGACCAAGGACCCTCTCAGGGCACGCTCCGTGGCGTCACCTCCCCCCCGGGGTGGATTTTGGGATGGTGGGGACCTTACCCGGGGCGTGTTGCAGAGGTAACGCAGCAGCTCCCCCACGTACTGGATGACGGAGACGTTGTACTGGCGACAGTCGTCCCAGAACTGGGAGGCAGAGAACTTGGCCCGTAGGACGCAGGT